TTCTTTTTTGTGTTTAAGATCAGCAAGGATTTCACTGTTAAGCCAAGCTGGTCACCTGCCATATTTACTATTCTTTCTACACATCGGGATGGTTTGTCCCTGTAACCTCAATAAGGATTCTTTAAAATACAGCCATTATGGTCACTATTACCAAGCAGTTAAGTTATATTCACATCTTGGACCAGACCCTGTGCTCTACTTAGCACTAAATCAAGAATTGCCTCTCCTCTTGTCGTTTCCAGGACTAGCTGTTCCAAGAAGCCGTCAATTAAGGTGTCTAGAAACTTTATCTCCTCATCCCATTCTGAGGTGACATGTATCTAGTCAATCTGGGGATAGTGGAAATCCCCCCTTCTTATTGAGTTGTTTTTGTTACAATGTCTCTAATTTCCCAGAATATTTCACAGTCACGATCAGCATCCTGGTCAGGTTGTCGGTAGTATATCTCTACTGCTATATTCTTATTATTCAGGTATGGAATTACTCTGCATCGAGATTCTATGGTACAATTTGGGTCATTTCAGATTTTTAATTCATTTGACTCTATGCTTTTTTTGCATATAGTGCCACTCCCCCACCAGCACGGTCTGGTCTGTCCTTCTGATATAATTTATGCAGTGGTATTACTGAGTCCCATTGATTGTCCTCATTCCACCACATTTCTGTGATGCCTATTATGTCAATCTCCTCATTTAGTACAGGGCACTCTAGTTCACCCATCTTATTATTTAGACTTTTAGCATATGTATATAAGCACTTTAAAAAATTGTCACTTTTTAGCTGTCTGCCATTACATGATGTAATTGAATTGATTTAGGCTTCTATGGATGAGATTTTGAAAAGCACCTATGCGTTAGCATAGCAAAAGATCTTTCCAGCAAGCTGGAAGAAACTATAAAAGAGGGAAAGTGACGTCACCACTTGGCCTCACTCGCCCCACAACTCAACACCTGGAAACATGTTGGGAGGACAAAGACTTTGACCTGGAGAAGTTTGGTATTGGTCTGAAAGACAAGCCCAGCCTGTGTATTGAGGGACTGTCACCTGCTTGTACAATCTGAAAGGGTGAGACATGGCTTGATTAAAATCCTGTCTAATTTATTTTACTCAGACTGTGAATTTACTTTTATTTCTTGTGTAACCAACTCTGATCTCTACACTCACCGCTTATAATCACTTAAAATCCATCTGTCTGTAGTTAATAAACCTGTTTATTATTCTACCTAAAACTGTGTGTTTTGATGGAAGTGCTTGGGAAATCTCAGCTCAGTTTACAAAGGCTGGTGTTTGTGCTCTCCACATCAGGAGAGGCACAGACTGGGTAATGAACTTACACTTGCAAGGATTCTGACCAATGCAAGAATGTACATTTCTGGGCTGCAAGGCCAGGGAGCCGGGGGGAATTGACTGGAGCCTCCCTGTTGATGGTTCATGAGTGGCTGGGAGGTCATTCATGGAACTCAGCTGGGTGAGTCCCTGCCTGGGGATGGCTGTGGAAGTGCAGGACCTGCCAGAGGTTTGCAGCGTGACACAGTGTCACAGTGTGAGAGGGATACCCCAGGTTGGTGGGACAGAGGGCTCAGCGGTCCCACAGCCCAGATTGCATGCTGGGAACCCTGTCACATTGGCTTTTTAAACCCATGTCTCAATGAATCCTGATATTTCCGGACAAAATTCATGCAGCTTTCACCCTTTGCTCTGTGGCTGGCCCTTCTCCAGCGTCCAACCAATCCCCCAGCCAGTCACGAGCAGACTCTATGTCGTGTGGCTCACAGACAACAAAGTGAGAGATTGACGATCCACCCGCCACATGGCAAGGTCTCTCCAGGACATTTGAGGGGTGACTGGGGGTGAAGGGTGGCAGGATCCACCCATGAATCACTCCCGACCCAGCAGCACTTGGGGGGCCCAAGCTGGGTCTGGTGTGTTTCCAGGTGTGAACAGGCTGAATTTTTGCAATGATGCAGCAGCAGCTCAGCTCCTGCTCTGGGGCTGGGGCTGCCCCGGATGTGGGCGACCGTCTCTGCAGACGGAATCTCACACCCTTCCCCACGAGCGGCCCCAGGGCTGAGCCGAGCTGTTTGAGGCTTGCACAGAGCTGGCTGCCTTGGAGGCTTTTCAGACTCAGCTTTATGAGCATCTCCCACTCCGCATGCTCCCTCCCCCTTGAGGACAGCTTCCTGCCCCCAGACAGACTCCGTGTGTGGGGGGGAGGAAAGCTGCAGGTGTTGTGTATGTGTTAAGGGAATCAATTCTGAGATGCTGTCAAGGTTCCTCCCCCACTCTGAACTCTAGGGTACAGATGTGGGGACCTGCATGAAAAACCTCCTAAGCTTATCTTTACCAGCTTAGGTCAAAACTTCCCCAAGGTACAAAATATTCCACCCTTTGTCCTTGGATTGGCCGCTACCACCACCAAACTAATACTGGTTACTGGGGAAGAGCTGTTTGGACGCGTCTTTCCCCCCAAAATACTTCCCAAAACCTTGCACCCCACTTCCTGGACAAGGTTTGGTAAAAACCTCACCAATTTGCCTAGGTGACTACAGACCCAGACCCTTGGATCTTAAGGACAATGAACAATCCTCCCAACACTTGCACCCCCCTTTCCTGGGAAATGTTGGATAAAAAGCCTCACCAATTTGCATAGGTGACCACAGACCCAAACCCTTGGATCTGAGAACAATGAAAAAGCATTCAGTTTTCTTACAAGAAGACTTTTAATAAAAATAGAAGTAAATAGAAATAAAGAAATCCCCCCTGTAAAATCAGGATGGTCGATACCTTACAGGGTAATTAGATTCAAAACATAGAGAACCCCTCTAGGCAAAACCTTAAGTTACAAAAAAGATACACAGACAGAAATAGTTATTCTATTCAGCACAGTTCTTTTCTCAGCCATTTAAAGAAATCATAATCTAACACGTACCTAGCTAGATTACTTACTAAAAGTTCTAAGACTCCATTCCTGGTCTATCCCCGGTAAAGACAGAATATAGACAGACACACAGACCCTTTGTTTCTCTCCCTCCTCCCAGCTTTTGAAAGTATCTTGTCTCCTCATTGGTCATTTTGGTCAGGTGCCAGCGAGGTTACCTTTAGCTTCTTAACCCTTTACAGGTGAGAGGAGCTGTCCCCTGGCCAGGAGGGATTTCAAAGGGGTTTACCCTTCCCTTTATATTTATGACAGATGCTGTGTCTGATTCACCCAGGACATATGTAAGAAAGTGAGATTAAACCTTCCAGCTTCAACGCAAGGGTGAAATCCACAATCCCCTCCCTCTCTCCCCCCCCCGACCTCTCCCTGCCCCTCTGGCTGCAGCCCCTGGCTTGAAGTGGTTCCCATCATATATATGATTTACAGTTTGATTCAGTGGGTCTCACCACCCCCACTGTTCAAATTTTTCCAGCAACCCTGACACCATCCCACTCCCCACAGCAGCCCCCCTGTTACTTGTCTAAACAGCCCCCATGCCCCACCCCAGAGGCGGCCATCATCAGGATGGCCCATTTCTCCTTCTTGTCAACTGTTTGAAAGGGGCCATCCTGATGATCACGGCAAAAGTTTTTTTTCTCCCGCTGATAATAGCTCATCTTAATTGATTAGTCTCGTTACAGTTGGTATGGCAACCCCCATTGTTTCACATTCTCTGTATCTATCTATCTATCTTCTCACTGTATTTTCCACTGCATGCATCTGATGAAGTGGGTTTTAGCCCACGAAAGCTTACACCCAAATAAATTTGTTAGTCTCTAAGGTGCCACAAGTCCTCCTCTTTCTCTTTTTTGCTATAGACTGTTATCCAAAGGCTCAGGGCTGACGATGCCAGTAAAACCATCTGACCACTAGATGGCAGCAGATGTCCAATTCAGGTGCTTGTCCTAAACTGGCAATCAAGTCACCCGGTCCCCTTCCCTTTCGCGTGGTCTACACTAGTAACGGATGTTGGTATAACTACGTCGCTCAGGGGTGCGGAAAACCCTCCACCCCCGGTGATGCTGTTATGCTGACCTAAGGCCTGGTGTAGACGATGCTTCTCCCATCAGCACCGCTCCCGCCTCTCGGGGGGGTGGATTAACGGCGCCGATGGGAGAAGCTCTCCCGTCAGCACAGACAGCGTCTTCACTGGGCTGCTTCAGCGCCGCAGCTGCATCGGTGCAGCCTTCCCCGTGTAGACGTGCCCTTTGATCAACTGAACTGACTGAGCTCCTGGAGTCTCTCTCTGCCAAGCCCGGGGGCCAGTCCGTTAATCCTTCTCGTGGCTCTTCTCTGACCCCTCTCTAGTTGCTCAACATCCTTCTTGGGGGGGGCGGGAGGGGGGGCGCCAGAACCGGACACAGGATCCCAGCAGCGGTCGCACCAGGGCCAGATCCAGAGGGAAAATCACCTCCCTGCTCCTAAGTGACATTCCCCTGTTCAAGTATCCCAGCATGGCTGCAGCCCTGTTGGCCCTGGGAGGTCACGTGGAGCTGAAAAGTGTCCCCACGCCTGAGGCCTCCAGGCAAAAGACGAGAGACGAAGGCAGGTTGCAGGCCAGGCTGTGGTTTGTGTGGTCTCTAGCACAGAACGAGGGTTTCCTTAGCGTTGCCTGGCCTGTAACGTGTCCCAGGCCGAGGGGTGGGGTCCCTGCAGCAAAGGCAGGGCTGAGAATCTCCCGTGTCCCACCACCAGTGGGTCTCTGTTCACTTTCCCCAGCCAGGAGGGGCTGGAGGGCAGTGTCCCAGCTGGCGTCTCTGCTCCTGGAAGCTCGCCGGGGGGAGTCAGCTGGAAGTGGCTGCCTCAGCCCCTGCTCTCTGCTGGGGCCCCACCATCCGCCCCCGGATGTGGACAGCCGAATGCAAACACCTGGCGAGGGTCCAGCAGGGGGGAGCTTGTGGTTCTCGGGATGTCTGCATGTAGCAGAGGGTGTCAGAGGCCTTCCAGGCTTTACAGATGTGATCGGACCCAGCCATGTCCTGTGAGCTCCACCCATTGTCCCCCCCTTTCAGATATATCCGCACATGAACCGCTCCCTGCTCCGGGCTAAGCCAGCCTGGGCGAGCTGCAGGCATCACGTTGGAGACCTAGGACAGGGGTTGACTCTGGGACACTGCGTGCCCCCAAAACACGGGTAAGGAAATGAGGTAAACCCCTCAGCTGTCCCATTGGATCTCATTCTACCCCCACCCCCACTAGCTCCTGGATCTCCCCTCTTCCTGCTGCCCCCATCCCCTCTCCTCATCTGCTCCGCATAGCGCCAGTTGAAATTATTTGTGGGTCCTGTTGTCAGAGGTCACGGTCCCCCATCGTGCTGGGTGCTGAACAGACCCCAACCAAGGTCGGGGGCCCCATCACAGCAGGCAGTGCATAGACACTGACTGAGATCGGGGGCCCCATCGTGCCAGGCACTGCACAGACCCAAAGGGTGAAACAAGCCTGGGCACAATAAACTCACACTCTGAACAGATGACTGTTTGGAGGGTAAACTGAGTCATGGGGCCATGACATGACTTCTCCAACCTCCCCAAGCAGAGTCTGGAATGGGACCCAATCATCCTGACTCCCCATCTAAAGACTAAAATAGACTCTTGCAATATCCTTCCTTTTGGCTTGTTACTGGTCTCTTCTTCCTCTTGTGTTTTACCGGGTTGCTTTTTTTGTCATTGTTGTTGTTTCAATGTTACTTTTCTCCTCCTTGAAAGCCGCTCTCCATCACTTGAGGTTTTTACAGGGAGGGGTTCTTTCGGTTGGGATTTTGCCCACCCAGCTTCACTAACTTACCCTCCTAAAAAGGCCCAAACCACACAAAAACTCTGCTTCAAAATGAAGGGGGAGAAGGGGAAGAATCACTTTAAAAAATTCCATTATTTCAAAAGAAAGGGGGGAAACGATCATTCATTAATTTTATTTTTTAAACCAAGACGGGGGGGAAGGGGTCTCTCCTTTCTCCATCTCTGAATTCTGGTCCGCCACCACCCTAATTGTCCACTGCCCCTTTCCTAGAAATCCAACTTTTCAGCAAGAAGCTGGATTTTTTTTTAATATTTCGTTTAGTCAAAAAAAACGATATTATGTTAAAACAAAAATGTTTGGGCAGAGAATAGACACAAGTCCTGCATCTTGGCAGGGGAATAGACTAGATGACCCTTGGGGTCCCCTTCTAGCACTCTGGCTCTATGCTTCTAAGGTGTTTGAATCATTGGTACCATTGGCCTAAAAATATTTGATCCTGTCTGAGTTCAGCTCAGGACTGGGGGAGTATATAAGCTCTGCAGGTGTCTTGCTCTGTCCTTGACCTCTCCTGGAGCCCATTTCATTGCTCTTCCTTCCTTTGCTCAGTACAACGTCTGCGCTGCCCCCGCCAAGCCCTGAGGAGAAGGAGGGGATATTGTGATGGTAACTCTCCTGAGAATGGTGTTCCCAATCCTCTCTCTGGTGCTGAGTGCCGTGGCCTTCTTCACCGGGCTGCCATTGAATGGGTACGTCGTCTTTGTCACCAGCTGCCGTACAGGGAGGACGGCCAGCGCCGTGTGGTTCCTGAACCGGGCCATGGCCGATTTCCTCTTTATCGTCTTCCTGCCAATCAGATTCATCTTCATCCTGAACTTAGACCAGGCCAAGATACTGAACAACACCGTTATCTCACTCCACATGTTCTCCAGTGCCTTCCTCCTCACGGCCCTCAGTGTCGATCGCTGCATCCTCGTGGCATGCCCTGAGTGGACCCGGAACCACCGCACACCCCTCCTGGCTTTCATGATTGTTATAAGCCTGTGGGCCATGTCTGTTGGGTTCAGCTTGCGGTATGGTGATCTCTGGGAATCCCTGCTCTCACCGGCCAGTATACGCATGAATGTCCCACTGGATGAAGGGAGGGTGAAGGCTGCCTTTGTGATCCAGTTCCTAGTCGGGTTTCTGATCCCATTAGCCTTGATCTTAATCCCAACCTTCTACATCGTTCTAGCTGCCAAGCTGAGAAGGAACAGGCTGATCCAGTCCACCAAGCCACTCAAGATCCTTCTTGGCTTGATCCCGACCTTTTTCGTCTGCTGGCTGCCGTATCACGTCTTCTCCTTCCTGCTGATCTCACCTAAGTACCCCCTGCCTTTTCTTGTCACAGAAAGCAATTTTGCTTGTATCCTGTCATATTTCAACAGTTGCCTCAACCCCATCTTCTACCTCACCATGGAGGAAGAGTTTCTGAGGTACCAGCATCGTGCACGCAACCCCCAAACCACCGACAACTCAGGGCCGGAGCTGGCTGAATAGGGGAACGGATGGAATTGTTGATATTTCTATGGAAAAAGAATTCTGTTCATTGGGACACGTAACTTCCTCTTGATCCCAAAATTGTCTTTTTTAGCAAGTGAATTTTTTGGCCTTATTCATAGAAAAGCCACAAGAATGATTTCTGGATTAGAAAACCTGCCTCACAATGAGAGACTCAAGGAGCGCAGTCTATTTAGCTTAACAAAGAGACAGTGAAGGGGTGACTTGATCACAGTCTGTAAGTACCTACATGGGGAACAAATATTTAATAACGGGCTCCTTAATCTAGCAGAGGAAGGTCTAACATGATCCAGTGAACAGAAGTTGAACCTAGACAAATTCAGACTGGAAAGGAGGTGTAAATTTGTAATGGTCAGAGTAACTGACCCTGGGTTTAGCAGGCCAATGCTCAAACCGCTGAGCTATCCTTCCCACCAATACGTCCTTTTCTATGTCTTCATGTCCTTGTTTTTCTCATCATGTCATTTTTGCTGCCAGTGGGGCTCCAGCTCTTCTTCTTCCCTGTGTTTGTTGAAGATCAATGGATCTATGAAAGAAAGGGTAATATTTTCAAAAGGGTCTAAGTTCTATTTTTTAGTGTTTAGGCCCTTGGAACCTTGCTGAGAGTCAATGAGACATAAAATAAGAATGGCCATATTGTGTAAGAGCAAAGGTCCATCCAGCCCAGTATCCTGTTTTTTGACAGTGGCCAATGCCAGGTGCCCCAGAGGGAATGAACAGAACAGGGAATCATCAAGTGATCCATCCCCTGTCGCCCATTCCTAGCTTCTGGTAAACAGAGCCTAGGGACACCATCACTGCCCATCCTGGCTAGTAGCCATTGATGGACCTATCCTCCATGAAATTATTTAGTTCTTTTTTTAACCCTGTTATAGTCTTGGCCTTCACAATATACTCTGGCAAAAAGTTCCACAAGTTGACTGTGTGTTGTGTGAAGACATACTTCCTTTTGTTTGTTTTAAACCTGGTGACTATTAATTTCATTTGGTGACCCCTAGTCCTTGTGTTATGAGAAGGAGTAAATAACACTTCCTTATTTACTCTCTGCACACCCGTCAGGATTTTATAGGCCTCTTAGTCGTCTCTTTTCCAAGTTAAAAAGTCCCAGTCTTATTAATCTATCCTCATATGGAATCCGTTCCATACCCCTCATCATTTCTGTTGCCCTTTTCTTTACCTTTTCCAATGCCAATATATCTTTTTTTAGATGGATTTATATAGAGGTAATATGATATTTTCAATCTTCTTATCTGTCCCTTTCTTAATGATTTCCAACATTCTGTTCGCTTTTTTGACGGCCGCTGCACATTGAGTGGATGTTTTCAGAGAACTGTCCACAATCACTCCAAGATCTCTGTTTTGAGTGGTAACAGCTAATTTAGACCCCATCGGTGTATATGTATAGTTGGGATGATGGTTTCCAATGTGCCTTACTTTGCATTTATTAACATTGAATTTCATCTGCCATTTTGTTGCCTAGTCACCCAGATTTGTGAGGTCCCTTTGTAACTCTTCGCAGTCAGCTTTGGACTTAACTATATTGAGTAGTTTTATATAATCTGCAAATTTCGTCCCTGCCCACTGTTACCCCCTTTTCCAGATTGTTTATGAGTCAGACTCTTCCCAAACCAATCACGTTCATCTATGAGTCTGACTAATTTGTTCTTTACTATAGTTTCAACCAGTTTGCCGGGTACGGAAGTCTGGCTTACCGGCCTGTAACTCCCAGGACCACCTGTTGAGCCTTTTTAAAAAACTGGTGTCACATTAGCTGTCCTCTAGTCATTTGGTACAGAAGCTGATTTATATACCACAGTTAGCAGTTCTACAATTTCACATTTGAGTTCCTTCAGAACTCTTGGGTGAATCCCATCTGGTCCTGGTGACTTATTACTGTTTAGTTTATTAATTTGTCCCCAAACCTCCTCTAATGACACCCCAATCTGGGACAGTTCCTGGGACAGTTCCTTTTACCTAAAATGATTGGCTCAGCTCTGGGAATCTCCCTCACATGCTCAGCTGTGAAGACTGATGCAAAGAATTCAATTGGTTTCTTCGCAATAGCCATATCGTCCTTGAGTGCTCCTTTAACATCTCAAACGTCCAGTGGCCCCTCTGTTTTTTTAGCAGGCTTCCTGGTTCTGATTACTTAATTAATTTTTTGCTATTACTTTTTCAGTCTTTGGCCTGCCACAGGGATGTTAAATCTAATTATATTATGGTCACTATTACCAAGCAGTTCAGTTATATTCTCTCTTTGGACTAGATTCTGTTCTCTGCTTATCACTAACTCAAGAATTGCCTCTCCTCTTGTGGGTTCGAGGACTGGCTTCTCCAGGAAGCTGTCATTTAAGGTGTCAAGAAACTTTATCTCTGCATCCTGTCCTGAAGTGACATGTACCCTGTCAATATGGAGATAGTTGAAATTCCCCATTATTATTGAGTTTTTTATTTTTATAGCCTCTCTAATTTCCCTGAACATTTTACAGTCAGTATCACCATCCTGATCAGGTGGTCGGTAGTATATCACCCCTGCTATGTTCTTATTATTAAAGCATCAAATTACTATCCATAGAGATTGCTTGCTACAGTTTGGTTAATTTAAGATTTTTACTTCATTTGACTCTACGCTTTTTTTGCATATATTCCCAATCCCCCACCAGCACAATCTGGTCTGTCCTTCCAATGTAATTTGTACCCTGGTGTTACTGTGTCCCATTGATTATCCTCATTCCACCAAGTTTCTGTGATTCCTATGATGTCAATCTCCTCTTTAATAAAAGGCACTCTAGTTCACCCATCTTATTATTTAGACTTCTAGCATTTGTATATTATCACTTTTAAAAACTGTCACTTTTTAGCTGTCTGCAATTACTTGATGTCATTGAATTCATTTAGGCTTCTATGGGTGAGATTTTCAAAAGCACGTATGTGAGTTAGGTGCTTAACTCCTATTGACTTCAATGAAAATTTGGCATCTAACTCCCTTAACCAACCTTAAAAACCTAGTCCTGTGTCTTCATTGCCAAGCCTCAAACCTCATGAGCCGCCTCATAAAGCATCATGAGATGAGTTTTAACAAAAAGACATTTAGGTTCTTCTTTTTTGCCTCCTAATTTTTTGGGGGCAATTTCCAGCTTTTCTCTGCAACAATGAAGGTCAGAAACTTGCTAAAAAATAAAAAATAAAACAGAAACAAAAGCTCAAATTCCCACCTAATCATATGATTCCAGGATCTGGGGCTTGGAGGAAAATGAGAAGCACAGTGAACGCCGCAACCAAATTGTAAGGGTTGGTGACAGTACAAAACTCTGCCAAAATTTCAGAACACCAGAACTATCTAGCTCTGTTTTGGAAGCCAATGGAGTGAGGAGCTGTTTCAAATATTGGGGACTTTAAAATAAAGTGTGTGTCTGTCACTGTGTACTTCAAAACGGCACCCTGGGACCACCATATTCGTGACTGTCATATAAATATGAACAAAGTCTGCCTTGTGAGGTATCATTAAAAACGTCTTGATCTGTTGATTATTAATATCTGGTTGAATTGTATGTGCTGTCACTGTATGGGGAGTTGCTATGTGTGTGTTAGTGAAATAAGTTGTGATGTTGGGGAACACCCACAACCAGCCTTTCAGGTACAACAATGGAGGAGCCAGACAGCGTTAATGGCTCATCAGCACCCATCCAAGAATCCACTATCTCAGGAACTGTATACAATGGAGATTTCTCAGAGAGAGAACGGAGACAATGGAGACTGTTTGACCCAAGTCATAGCGAAATATATTCCCAGGGAGTTGGAAGAAACTACAAAAGAGGGGAAGTGACATCACCACTTTGCCTCACTCCCCCCACAACTCAACACCTGGAAACACATCTGGAGTACATAGACTTTGACCGGGGAAGTTTGGTATCGGGCTGGAAGACAAGCCTAGCCTGTGTATTGAGGATCTGTCACATGCTTGTACCATCTGCCAGGGTGAGACACGACTTGATTCAAATCCTGTCTAGTTTATAGAACTCAGACTGTGAATTTACTTTTATTCTTAGGTAACCAGCTTTGATCTCTATGCTCACTGCTTATAATCACTTAAAATCCATCTGTCGGTAGTTAATAAACCTGTTTATTATTCTACCTAAAACTGTGTGTTTGGTTGAAGTGCTTGGGACATCTCAGCGCAGTTGACAAAGGCTGGTGCGTGTCCTCTCCACATTGAGGGAGGGGTGGGCTGGGTAATGAACTTACACTGGCCAGGCTTCTGAACAATGCAGGATGGTACATTTCTGGGCTGCAAGGCCAGGGAGCCTGGGGTAATTGACTGGAGCCTCTGTATTGATGGTTCATGTGTGGCTGGGAGAAGCATTCATGTAACTCAGCCGGGTGTGCCCCTGCATGAGGATGGCTATGTAAGTGCAGGACCTGCCAGAGGTTTGTAGCTTGACACAGCATCACAATGTGAGAGGAACATTCCAGGTTGGTGGGACAGAGGGTTCAGTGGTCCCACAGTCCAGCTTGCATGCCAGGAATCCCGTCACAGTGGCTTTTAAAACCAATGTCTCAATGAATCCTGATAGTCCCTGCCAAAATTCATGCATCTTTCACCCTTCGCTACATTGCTGGCTGTTCTCCAGCGTCCAGCCGATCCAGCAGCCAATTGAACAGCAGGCACTATGTCGTGTGGCTCACAGCCAACGAAGAGAGAGATTCATGATCCACTCGCCACCTGTCAAGGTCTCTCTGGGACTTTCAAGGGCTGACCGGGGGAGAAGGGTGGCAGGACCCACTCACTAATCACTCCCGACCCAGTGGCACTTCAGGGGCCCAAGCTTGGTCTGCTGGTTCTCCAAGTGTGAATGGCCTGAATTTTTGCAACGATGTGGCTGCCGCTCAGCTCCTGCTCAGGCTGTGGGTACCCCGGATGTGGGCGACCGTCTCTTCAGATGGGATCACAGATTCTTTGTCACGAGAGGCCTGAGAGCTGAGCTGAGCTGTTTGAGGCTTGTGAGGAGCTGGTTGCCTTGGAGGTTTTGCAGACTCCGCTTTGTGAGCATCTCCCATCCCGACTGAACTGCCCACCACGCGTGCTCTCCCCCCTACTCTGAGAATACAGCTTCCTGCCCTCAGACAGAGTCCATGGGGATGGGGGGGGGGTGGTAGCTGCAGGTGGTGTGTAAGAAAGTGAGATTAAACCTTCCAGCTTCAATGCTAATGTGAAATCCACAATGCCCTCCCTCCCCCACAGATCAGTCTCTGCCCCCCCATCCCCTGCACCAGGTTCCTTCCTGCACCCAATCCACCCCCACAGCAGCCCCCCAGATTCCAACCCGCTCCCCATAGCAGCCTCCCCAGATCCTTTCTGGCTTCCACACCCTGGTCCCCAAAGCAGCCTCCGCACATCTCTCCCTTCCCCTCCCCATAGGTGTCGCATCGTCTTGCTTAAAGTGGTTCCCATCGTACACCGGCTTTACAGTTTGATTCAGTGGCTCTCAGCACCCCCACTATACAAATTGTTCTAGCAACCCTGACCCCACCCCACTCCCCACAGCAACCCCCCCCCCCAAATTCCTCCCTGTCACTTGTATAAACAGCCCCTATGCCCCACCCCAGTGGTGGCCACATCTCAGCGGGAAAAGACCCTATAGATTAAGGCTTTCAACCTTTCCAGACTACTGTACCCCTTTCAGGATTCTCATTTGTCTTGTGTCCCCCCAAGTTTCTCCTCACTTAAAAATGACTTGTTTACAAAATCAGACACAAATATACCAGTGTCACGGCGCACTAGTACTGATAAATAGTTTACTTTCTCATTTTATAAGTATAAAATAAATAAATTGGGATAAAAAGATCGTACTTACATTTTAGTGGACAGTATGTAGAGCAGTAGAAAGAAGCCATTGTATGAAATTTTAGTTTCTGCTGACTACGCTAACACTTTTTCTGTACCTTGTTGTAAAGCTGGGCAAATATCTAGATGAGCTGATGTTCCCCACGGAAGATCTCTGCGTACCCCCGGTGGTACACGTACCCCTGGTTGGGATCCACTGCTACAGACTGGTATCCAAAGGCTCAGGGCTGACGATGGCAGTAAAAGCACCTGGCCAGTAGATGGCAGCATACATGCAAGTCAGGTGCGGGTCAGAAACTGGCAATCGAGTCACCCCGTCCCCTTCCCTTTCGCTGGGTCTACGCTAGTAACGGATGTTGGTATAACTACGACGCTTGGGGGTGTGGAGCCCTCCAACCCCCGCCCCCGGGTGACGCTGTTACACCAACCGAACGCCCGGTGTAGACAGCGCTTCTCCCGTCAGCACCGCTCCCGCCTCTCGGGGGGGTGGATTAACGACGCCGAGGGGAGAAGCTCTCCCGTCAGCACAGACAGCGTCTTCACCGAGCCGCGACAGCGCCGCAGCTGCATCGGTGCAGCCTTCCCCGTGTAGACGTGCCCTCTGGTCAACTGAACTGACTGAGCTCGTGGACATAGGCCCCGATTCTGTGGAGGCTCCGGGACGGGAACACCCATGGGGAAAAATTGAAGGGTGCTTTGCACCCACCAGCAGCTCCCCACCCCATCCTCCCCCTGCGTCCCCGCCTCTCCCCCTAGCTCCTAGTGCTTGTCGCCGTGAAACAGCTATTTCGTGGTGGCAAGCTCTGGGAGGGAGGGGGGAGGAGGGGGAACGCAGGGCACTCTGGGAAGAGGTGGGGCTGGGGCAGGGATTTGGGGAGGAGTCCAATGGGGCAGGGAGGGGGCGGAGTTGGGGTGGGGACATTGGGAAGGGGTTGGAATGGGGGTGGGGCAGGGGTGGAGTCGGGGGCGGGAACGGGGGCGAGCACCCACCGGCGCCGGGAAGAGTTGGCACCTAGGCTCCTGGAATCTCTCTCCGCCAAGGCTGGGGTCCAGTCCTTTAATCCTTCTCGTGGGTCTCCTCTGACCCCTCTCCAGTTACTCAACACCTTTGTTGAAGAGTGGGCACCAGAACCAGGCAAAGGATCCCAGCTGTGGTTGCACCAGGGCCAGATCCAGAGGCAAAATCACCTCCCTGCTCATAATCGAGATTCCCCTGTTGATGCATCCTAGGACGGCCTGAGCCCTGTTGGCCCTGGGAGGTCACGTTGAGCTGAAAAGTGTCCCCACACCTAAGGCCTCCAGGCAAATGACGAGAGACGAAGGCAGGTTGCAGGCCGGGCTGTGGTTTGTGTGGTCTCTAGCACAGAGCGAGGGTTTCCTTAGCGTTGCCTGGCCTATAACATGACCGGGCCGAGGGGTGGGTTTCCAGCAGCAAAGGCCGAGCTGAGAATCTCATGCATCCATCTCCCAGGGGGGGCTCTGTTCGCTTTCCCCAGCCAGGAGACGCTGGAGGGCAGAGTCCCAGCTGGTGTCTCTGCTCCTGGAAGCTCGCCCGGGGGAGTCAGCTGGACGTGGCTGTCTCACCCCTGCTCTCCGATGTGGGCCCTGCCCGCCTGCCGCCGGATGTGGACAGCCAAATATAGACACCTTGCTAGGGCCCAGCAGGGTCGGGGGAGCTTGTGGTTCGTGTGATGTCTGCATGTAGCTGTGGTTGACGAAGACCTTTGAGGCCTTGCAGACATGCTCGGACCCGGCCACATCCTTGATCTCCCCACATTGTTCCCCCCATCCCCCCGCCAGATATACCCCCACATGAACGGCTTTCTGCTCTGGGCAAGCTGCAGCTGTCGCATCGGGGACCTGGGAAGGGGGGTCGACTCTGAAATGCTGCATCCCCGCAAGACACGGGTAAGGAAATGAGGTAAACCCCCCAGCTGCCCCACTGGATCTCATTTTTCTCCCCCCATCACTGCCCCCTGGGTCTCCCCCCATCCCCTCCCCTCATCCACTCCAGATAGAGCCAGTTGAAATTATTTGCGGGTCCTCTTGTCAGAGGCCAGGTGCCTCCATCATGCTGGATGTTGCTCACACCCTGACCAAGCTCGGGGGTCCCATCATGCCAGGCACTGCACAGATCCACAGGGAGAAACAGGCCTGGTCACAGCAACCTCACATTTAAACAGAGAAATGTTTGGAGGGGAAACAGAGTCATGGGGCCATGACGTGAGTTATCCAAGCTCCTCAAACAGTTCAGTGGCAGAGTCTATGATGCAGCCCAGGAGTCCTGACTCCATATCTGTCCACTAAAACAAACTCTTGCAATATCCTTCCTTTAAAAAAAGGTCTTTTGGTTTGTTACTGGTCTCTTCTTCCTCTGGTGTTTTGACGGCTTTTTTGTTGTTGTCATTTCAATCTTACTTTTCTTGTCCTGGGAAGTTGCTCTCCATCACCAGAGGTTTCCACAGGGGGGAATCTTTCGATGGGGTTTTGCCTGCTCCACTGACTCACCTCCCAAAATGGCCCAAACCAGACAAAAACTCCACTTCAAAATGAAGGCAGGTGGGAGAAGATTCACTTCCAAAAATTCCATTATTTTAAAAAAAGGGGGGAAACAATCTTTTTTTTTTTAACCAAGACAGGAATAATCAGCTCCTTCGGGAAGCTAACAGAAAGAAGATTATTTGGGAATTTTAGTGAAGCTTTGGTGTGGTCTCTGATATCTCTGCCTCTGCGTCCTGGATATCCCCATTGTCCACCTCCCCTTGCCTAGAAATCCAACTTTTCATCAAGAAGCAAAGGGGTGTGTTTTTTAAACGTTTAGTTTTGTAGAAACCAAACTCTGTCCTTGTCCCCTCCTGGAGCCCTTTCATTTCTCTTCCTTCCTTTGCTCAGTACAACCTCTGCACAGCCCCGCCTAGCCCTGATGCAAAGGAGGGGATATTGTGACTGCAACTCTTCCAGGAATGGTGTTCCCAATTCTCTTTGTGGTGCTGTGTGGCATGGCCTTTCTCGCTGAACTGCCATTGAACGGCTACGTCCTCTTTGTCACCAACTGCCGTGTGGAGAGGACGGCCAGCTCCATATGGTTCTGGAGCCGGGCCGTGGCAGATTTCATCTTCATCATCTTCCTGCCCCTCAGAGTCACCTCCATCTTCATCCTGGACTTAGACTCGGCCAAGGGGCTGAGCAGCACTGTCACCTCCTTCCACATGTTTGCCAGCGCTTTCCTCTTCACCGCCCTCAGTGTCGATCGCTG